GCTTCATTGTTCAGCTGGTGTAGCACACAGGAACAGAAAGAGTTTCACAGTGGGCTGATTTGCAATTGTGCATGTGTGCCCTACCCCAATATTTTATTGAAAATATTTACATGTCTGTCTTTCTGCTGACAAAATCAGGAGCCAAGATAAGTGGTCTCTTGAACACTTGGCTCCGAGGGAACTTTTAAACTTTCAGTGAATTTCAAAGAGAAGCTTCAAGAACTGAAAGTGTGCATGATCAGCATTACTCTTCCTCCACTACAGCAATTTCACATTTTGCACATCCACATAGTAGAAAGAGGAGCTCAGAAACAAGGTGAGGTCTAAAATTATGATCCTAAGAATTACTGAAATAACTCATTGTTTCCCCAGTGAAATATATTTAGGATCAGATTTCTTCATGTTTTAGAACATGCATCTGATATTTATTTCAATAAGCAAAGCAAAGGAAAAATGCTATCTTGCAAGGGGGGAAAGAGAACATCATTTTGGAAAAAAAACAGGAAAGGAAAAAGGCAGCTAAGCAGATAATGTGTTCTACTGAACTGAAAGAAAAGGAATTTAACAGAGGATGGCAGAACCGTTCCAGCAAATACTTGCAGAATCCAAGGAAACATTCTCATTAACAAGAGACACAGCATTTGTGTTTAAAGCTTCTCTCTTCCATGTAGAACAAAAGACCAGCTACACTGTTATGATCTTAGTCATACTGTGGGCGGGGGGAGGGGTTAGATAGAAGAAAAATGAGTAAACCGATAAAGGGTTGTATGAAAGAGTGGAGACTGAATAGAGAGGGGAAGGGGGATGGTATCAGTGAAGATGACATGGCAGTTTATGCAGTTGGCATGAGAAATGATGTCCCAACATGAAGAAAAAGCAAGCAAAAATAGCCCAAAGGCCTGCAACATGACTCCAGTAGCAAAGGAAACAGGGGCAGACCGGCCATTTAACCTCCAGGGGAGTTCTCAGGAGCAGGCAGAGTCAAACTCCAGGGGCTCTGCCAGTGCTGCAGAAGCCACTCAGCTCAAGCAGTTGGTGGCGGCCCAGGAGGCAGAGACACGGGAGCCGACACCCATGCCTGGCCACGTCTGAGCTGAGTGGCTCCTGAGGCACCAGCTTCTCATGCACAGGCAGCCAGTGTGGTGCAGTGGTTAAAGTGTGGGACTAGGATCTGGGTAAACCCAGGTTCATATCCCCACTCTGCCACAGAAGCTTGCTGGGTGACCTTGGGCCAGCCATATACTCTCAGCCTAACCTACCTCACAGAGTTGGTGTGAGGGTAAAATGGAGGAGAGATGAATGATGTAAACCACTTTAGGTCCCCACTGGGGAGAAAGGCAAGATATAAATAAATAAATAAATAAATAAATAAAATGCCACACAAAGGCCACTTAGCCTGATTTGCTCCTGGGCTATTTTTAACTCCCACCCATAAAACAAGGCATAAGCCTGACTTGGAATGGAAACTGCTTCGGAATCCTAGGCACACTGCTCTAAAGTTGGAGAAAGGGCAGGGCACTGGACATATTGGACTGGAGCCAATCAGCTTTTCTGCTGGTGAAAAAGAGAAGAAGGTATCCTTTAACCACCAAAAAAACCCCTATGCTTGGGATCATGGGACCTGCCTGGACAAAAGGCATGTTGGATGGGAGCTGTAGTTAAGAGGGGCATTAATTGATATTGAGTGACTGGATCCAAGCCATAATAAATACATTTTCAAATTATCAAATACTGGATGGATAACTGGCAGTGGCTACGCAAAGGCTAGGAAACTCCAGAAATCTGCCAGATTCAGACACAGCTGGAATTCTGCAGAACTCTAGAAGGGGTCTGAATCAAGAAATCATGTTAGTGAAGTGATTCCCGGGGGGCAAGTTCCAGGGCAAGTATAAGAGCTAAACAGAGAAAGGTGGGTAATGCCGATGGGCACTGGCATCTCTTGTAGTCTGCCCTTGACCATGAAGAAAGGGGAGAAGAAGGTCTTGAGTGGCATATGATAATGCTGCCTGGCTAAATGCAATACCAGGAAGGACCATTCAGTCAATGGTGAACAAGTCATTATTTTTTAGACCCAGGTGAATTCTCACAAGCAGGAGTGGGAAGAAAAAAGAGACGGCTAATTCAGACAGGCATTAATAAACCTCTTTTTGAACATAGGGCCTAGTTTTGCAGCATCTTTGAACAAGTGCAGAGTGTCTCCCTTTCACCACAGAACTACCACCAGCCACTATACATCTGAGATTAAAAGCAAAGTTTCCAGGGCACACAGGGAAAGGCTGTGGTCTTCAGTGGAAGACGCTCTGCTTTGCATGATGAAGGTCCCAGGTTCAATCCCTGGCATCTGCAGTTAAAAAGACCAGGCAGTAGGTGCTGTGAAAGAGAGCCACTGCCAGTCTGAGTAGACAATACTGGCCTTGATGGACTGATAGTCTGATTCAGCATAAGGCAGCTTCATGTGTGGTATAATTACCAAGCGGCCTTGAACTTCTTAACAATTCTCACAAAAAGCTAGAATATCAGGGAGTAGTTGTGGCTGCAGCCCAGCCAGGCATTTATTTATGGAAAAGTCAGTGAACCAGGACGAAGGAACACAGAGATTGGTAAGGGGATAGAAACAGAGAGATGATAATAAAGCAATATTTGTTGCAAAGAAAAAGAAGCATTAAGAGAACATCCAGTGGCAGCTGCAGGACGGGCAAGAGAAAGAGGAAAGAGTTACAGTACAGTATTCCGTGCACACAAAACAGAATTTTGTGCTCCAGTAATGTTTAGAGAGCAAGGCCCATTACATTGTTGCATTTGGGAAGTGAGATTCTGCACAGTTATCTCAATCCATTTTACTTTAAAGTATTATTAAAAGTTTCTACAAAAAATAAACCAAAAGTTTAACCTTTGGTTTAAAAAAAACAAAAAACAGAGCAGGCTGGGGAGGCAGTATGGAGAAAAGTTGGAACAGTTACTTGAAAAATGCAATATGGCTTCCATGGACAGTGGCAGGAATATAGCAGGATGCGAAGTGGGGGAACCGCAATACTGAAAAAGTAGCCAGGGTTATGGTGAACAAAGAAGCAGTTGTTTGGGGGAAGGGACAGGAAGAAATAAGGGAAATAAGGTGGCATAGACAAAAACACCTACACGTGTCTAGCTGATGGGGAGTCAGTAACTGTACAATATAGCTAAAGATAATATTGCAGTCCTTTGTTCTCAACAGATATTACTACCAGTATGACTGAATCACACCCCCCCCAGGCATATTTCATAGAAAAACAAGCGTTGCATAATCTACATTCACTCCAATGGAGTTTTTCACAAGCTCCATACAAATATTTGCACAGTAACAGCAGTACTAGATGCACAATGCCCAATATCTTCCTAGGCAGAGAAGGCACAGCCCTTTTTACCAGGACTTCAGAACCAGAGCTCAGTCTTGGATCCTCTGAAGTTATGAAGGGGCAGGGTGGGGTGATCAGGTCTGTATGTGCAAAGCAGCTGCCCTCTGTCATGGAAGGAACAGAAGCAGGAATCAGGAGTATAGTGTCAAATAAAAATCTTGAATCACAGTCACTAATTGGTGACCCTTCAGCCTATATAAAGAATGTTTTTATACAATTAGAATGGATAAATTAATTGTTCAGTACATGTTCTTTGAAGAAAAGAGAACCTAAAGATGCAGTAGTGATGGAATACAGAATGGAGATATGATAGTTACTCCAAATTAAATTTACTAGAGTACAAAGATGCGATCTTCTGGCGATCAGAAATAAAAGAGGCAGCAGGCATTCATTTAATTTGGAACCTCTATAAATGCTAGAGGTTAGGAGTACAGAACATTCCAAACACACATTATATATTCCAGGGTGAATGACGGCATGCATGCAAGACATGTGCCAGAGCCAGCCCCTGCTCAAACTAAGGGGGGGGGGAGCAGGCTACAACAACAAGGACGCCAAAGGAAGAATGATGGATTTGTAAAACCAGGTCCTCAGCACCACTGGAATAAGGAGCAGAAAAAAGGGCCTGTTAAGCAGGCATGCACTTAAAACAGACCAACTACCCAGGGCACGGGTGTTAAAAATAAGGACGAGGGCCGGAACTGGCCCATCCAGGGCTCTTATACGGCCCGCAAGCAACTGGTGCAAGGGAGGGAACAGGGGGGAGTGGGCAGAGCCACCCCGATTGTGGCTTCAGCATGGCCGAACAACCTCATCTGCAGCAGTCAAGTAGTGTGGGAGCGTCTGCCCAGTGCTGCACTGCTGGCTCTCCTGTCCACACATATGGGTTTTCCTTTGGACCCCCCTTCTAGCCCATGGGGCCTTGCAGTGAGGATACACCAAGTCGGAGCTTACCAGCTGCTGTCCTTTTAACAGTTTATATCACTGGAACCCGCCATGGCCCGACCAGACAAAATGACATTTATGTCAGATCTGGCCCTTGTAACAAATGAGTTTGACACCACTGACCCAGGGTTCAAATTGCAGAAACAGAGATGTTCAGCCTTAAATTTATAGCTGAAGAATCAGCCCTTGGAAGTCCACTATCCTACCCTACAAGCTCCATGGTACAGGCATTTGATCCCTGCTTATGCTACTCTGGAAAGTGCCATGCGAAATTCCCCCACCATCCCAAAGTGTCTTCTGGCATCTTAGGAGCGAACACAAGTATTATGACAAACTTCCAGGGGGATAACAGTTCACTCCTTAGAATAAATGAGACCTAACCCACACAAGCTTATATCACAACGAATCTGTCAGCCTTTCAGTTGTTACAAGGCTCTTTTTGAATTTATTTTGGTTTGGCTGCAACACACTCACACGATCATCATTCCGGGACTCTTCAGTACATAAATGAAAGTCACTCTGCACTTACTCAGTGGTACCCATGCTTTAAAAAAAAGAAAAGAAACACTTCCCTCATACTGATGCCTCCACAAAAAGCCCAGTGAGGAGGTCCAGAAAGCAAAGACGCTCCGCCAGCCAGCGAGTACGGAAGCAGGAGGGTACCTGTATTTCCTGAAGAGCTGGTCAGACTCCCGGAAGCCGTTGTTGAGCAGCATGTTGATCCCGGCCAGAGCCAACTCCGAGTCCTCGATTGGCAGCGGCCCCTCTCCGGTGCCAATGTCCTGCTCGGAACCAGCCATAGCGGCGGGCAGGTGGGAGACCCACCCGGCACTCTCCCCCCTACACTGCCCTCCGCCTGCGCACAAAAGGCGGCGGCGGCAGCAACAGTAAAGCCGAGGCACACGCCCTCCGTCCCTTTCGGGCAGCGTCCACCTTCCCTCGGCACTCCCTCTGCGGCCGCCACCGCTCCTATTGCTCCCGCAGCCGCCAACAACTGAGGGTAACGCAGCCGGTGAGGAGGACTCCGCAGCCCTTCAAGCAAGGGCTTGCCTCTAGCGCGCTTGCGCGGGACGGAATGAGCGTGCGCATTGCCGATGCAGAAGCCTTTGCCCTGAACGCTTGGTACCTGTTTCGAGGGGCTGTTCTTGCTCTCAAGTGGAAAGATGCTGAGCGGCCCCATTGTAAGTCCTTGTCTGCTTTTCTAGAGGGGTGGAAATAGAAGGTTGCTGCTGCTGCTTCTTTTTGGAGGGTTGGCAAAATTAATACAGGCATCAAAAGATGCGGTGTTGTTAGCAGAGGATGTAAGAGTGATCTTGAGTCAGATTAAGGCTCTATCTAGTGCAGTAATTTCCCCCCACACACACAGCTAGATGCTTCTGGGGTGGATGTAAACGTGGCATGAAGGCAAGAGCCCTTTTCTGCCCCCCTCCTCCGCAGCTATTGTTCAGCTATTAGTTACTGCTGAATATGGAGGTTCCGTTTAGTTATCATGGCTAATAGCCGCTGTTAGCTCTACAGCGTAACACTAATGCTTTCTGAGAAGTAAGCTCTACTGTTTTTAGTAGGACTTACTAACTGGCAAGTTAATAATAAAATATAGTCCTAAAGAGGTGTGATAAACTATTAACTGTATGTCTGCTGAAAGCAGTTCAGTATATTTATGTATTAAATAACATTTCAGTTTTTAAAAAGAGGGGAAAAAATCTTGAGTGGGTATTTTGATTTATGTATAATTTGCCATGATTACACGTTTGTGCTGTGCCAACAGCAATTGATCAAATGTCCCATTAATATATATGGTTTCCTGAAACACAAAATCTCATGAGGCTTGTAATAAAAACTACAGAATCTCAGCTTCATAATATTTTATATTTAGGTTTTCACCCATATAGGTGGTGGGGGGAAATTGAAACTATCTATTACATGTTTCTATCATCCTTTCTTCAATGCAGTGGTTCTTAACCTTTAGTGGTTCTTAACCTCTGCCTCTTCCCAAGTACACACATTTATTTTATTGAAAGCACTCCCCCCAATTTTATTTATTAAAATATTTAGATGCTATCTTTCCTGTAATTCAAAGTTGTTGACCAAAAAAAAATCCTGGTGTACAAGTAAAAGGCAATTAATTTTTTTTAAAAGACAGGAAAAACATAGTTACACAGGGTGCCAGCTCTGGATTGGAAAATACCTGGAGATGTTGGGGGTGAAGGCTGGAGAGGGCAGGGTCTGGGGAGGGGAGGGACCTCAGCACGGTATAATTCTGTAGAGTCCACCCCCCAAAGCAACCATTTTATTCAGGGGAACTGATCTCAGTAGCCTGGAGATACACTGTAATAGCAGGAGATCTTCAGGTGCCACCTGGAGGTTGGCAGCCTTACCCAATATCCTCCTTATGAAATTAATTACAAACTGCTTACCTAAAAAGAATGGCATTACAGTTCTTAAGGACCGTGCATGGCACTAAGGCCCTTTACTCCTCCTTGTCGTTGTTCAGTCGCACAGTCGAGTCCGACTCTTCGCGACCCCATGGACAAGATCTCGCCAGGCCCTCCTGTTTTCCACTGTCCTCTGAAGTTTGCTCAATTACTCCTCCTTAGGAATGCCAATTTTTAAAGCTGAAACTGCCACCGAAAAAGGAGCAGGCCTATACTCTGGACAAAAGGGCAGCCCAAAGAAGGATTCATTCAACCAGGAGGAGGAGGTGGGATGATCGATGGTAGCAAACGAGTATAAGTATAAAAACTGAACAAAATAAAAATTGGACAGAAAGTATGAAACAACTCTCCTTTGCTTGCTGCCAGACGTCACTGTATGTAGGGGAAATGGAATCCCTAAAATCTGACCGTCTTCCAAAGTTATGAAGGCCCCCAAGTGTTGTCATTTCGTTTATTTATTTCGGCTTACGTGACCAAAGGTCTCAAGCACATGTATAAAATACAATTTATGTTTAAACATCAAAACAAAGTTAAAACAGTGAAGTGTTGTAGATTATGGTTCCCTGTTAAGAATAACTGTTCCACATGACTCAATATACCATGTATAATTTTCCCATCCTGTATTATATCTTCACAACAACCATGTGAGGTAATTTAGGCTTCGAGAGAACTGGCCGAAGGCCATCCACAATATTCCATGACTGAATGAGGATTTGAACCCATGTGTCATCAGTGCTACTCATATACGCTGACCAGTATACCAGAGTTATGGGGGTTTCTGACTTGCTTGTAAGGCTCCTATGAGGTGGGTGGGAGCTGCCACCACGACGAGTCAGCAGCCCTTGCTTTGTGCGAGGTAGGTGGGAGCTGCTGCAAGTTGGCAGCCTTTATTTTCAGCATGCCTGTTCTCTCTCCCTGGGAAATACAGCCTATCTAGGGCCAGATGCAGGTTGGGAAACTCCTGGAGATTTGGGGATGGAGCCTGGGGAGGACAGGGACCTCAGTGGGGTACAATGCCATAGACTCTACCCTCCAAAGCATCCATTTTCTCCAGCGGAACTGATCTCTTTAGTCTGGAGATGAGCTGTAATTTGGGGGTATCCCTAGGTCCTACCTGGAGGCTGGCATCCCTATGTCTATCTAGTGTACATATACAATCTAAAGATGTGACAATTAGGCTATGTATTATTTTGTACTAACCACTATTCAGATTACAACTGTTTCTACAACTCCCCAGCTACACTTTTTAGAAGACTAAAAGGTCACATGATTTCTCACGCTAAACCAATAGTTACTCTATGGGGTGATTGACGGAGGGGAAAGTTTCAGCCACTTTGGCCTACAAGACCTAGTTGCAAGAAGAAATTAATCTGGGAGACACACAGCTCCAATTGAACATGTAACTCAAAGTTCTCAAAGTTCTCACTCAACAAACGTAATGTGTGAAATGGCCTGAAACAGCAGAGGAACAGCCATGGAGACTGTAGATACATGTCTGTGTACTGTCTATGCCCATCATGGTCCCTGTAATGTGTGGAAGCCGTGCTCTTAACTCTACATGGCACAATTGCAGTCCAGGTGCATCGAATGTTTCTGAGGATTTCTAGCACTGAAAATTGTATTTCTACTACACCAAAACAAATGTGATGTATTTCAAATGCCACCAGCCAAGCAGTTTTATAGCTTCTGTGAGCATTACTGCCTGTTATTAATAGTTTTATAGTCCTTTTCAACATTAATATCAATTGTGTTTAATCTCTTCACTAGAGGACATCAAGAGATCAGCAGTGCTGCAAATTGCAAGCAATGTATGTTGCATAGTGATAAAGACTGTAGGTGAACTCAGTGTACACTCTGGACATTGAACTGCTGGGCTTTGATCATGTGAACAGGATAAAATGTACTGCTGCTATCAAATCTCTTTTCCAGGTTACCATTCTGCCTGGTGAATATTAAAATCCAGTTATAGAGAATTATACTTTTAAGAAATGTATTACCGAGGGTTACAGAAACGGACACATTTTGCAATTTGTGGAGGGAATAGTACAAGAGGAGACCGTCTCCATCTCTCTCTTTTGTTTTTCATTTGAGAGAACATGTATGCTGCCCTTCTGTTTTCTGAACAGCCAAGGCAGATCACGATTAAACAGAAGATGCAATAACAATTACATGAGTTAAAATATAATATAAAGCATATAATCCATCTAAAATCCAAGGCAAAAAAGAAATCTTCATTGACCTTTCCACAATAGATATTTGTTCAAGTATTTATGAAAGACTGCAGAGATGATACCACCTTCTTCAATTTCCTTCCTCCTGCTTGATGTCTCCATGGAAGGGTAATGCAAGCCATGTACATAGTGGAAATAGTTGTCAAGTGCTGATTTTTGGAGGCCGTGTGTGGCCTTAATACTTCAGGCTTACTACAGCGCCGAAGAAAAGACTAGTTGTGGGGAGGGCTGGGTCGCAAACATGCTGCTTGCTACTCTCTCCTTCACAGTCTCTTCTGTTGCCAAACATCAACCATTAATTTTGGATCTGAGTGTCAGCTATTCCATGCCATCAGGACAATCCTAACAGAGTAACAGTGCAATCCTATGCAATTGTCTAAGGAAAGTGAAATTTTAGAATAGAATAACTGTGCATAGGATTCTTGCTTATCGACAGCCTGCTAACCTAAAACAACTTCTCACCTGCAATGATAACCTACTTAACAGTAGAATGGAAGGCCTGTGACAAGCCAAGATGCCAACTTTGTTCTCATATAGATCCTAGCAAACACCATCACCGGACCCAGCCACACCAGCCATACCATCTCAGGTTCATACTCCTACTCATCCTCTAATGTGATTTATGTCCTCATGTGTCAGCAATGCCTTCCCACCCTCTATATTGGACAAACAGGCCAGTCCCTTCAACAGAGAATTAATGGACTTAAGTCTGACATCAGAAACCACAACATTATCTCATTACCAATGTTGATTTCTCCATCCCCACTACCTCTCTGCATATCTAATCTAATCACACCTGCTATTGTCATTTGCCTGCTAATGTCATTTGGCATCTGAAATCACGCCACTTTCCAATCTTTCAGATAGATGGACTCACATTCTAGCTGTATCTGAAGAAGTGAGCAGTACTCATTAAAGCTCATACCCTACCACAAATTTTGTTAGTCTTTAAGGTGCTACTGGACTCTTACTCTTTTCTAGGATTTCACTGTTAGTCTAGCACATATGTATATTTCCAGAAGGCTTGGGGGAACAATGGGAGGGTCTTTCCTTTAATGGTCGACTCATTTTTCCTAAGGTCTCAAGTCAAGCCACACAGAATTATTTATTGTTATTGTTGTTGCTGCTTTTGTTGTTGTTGTTATATTATTATTCCTGTATATTTTAAATCCTAATTTATTTCTAAATTTGGAATTAACCCTTAAATATTCTTAACCCCATCACAGAAAATCCATCTTTTCCTTTCATGTAATCACCACTGAGAAGAATTTTGCCATGGCTAAAGTAATCCTCAGATTCTCATCCTTTAATTAAAATGGTACCATCTTAGCTCTGTCAACGGACATTAAATTCC